TCCTTTGCTGCAAATGAAGCTAATGCCTGTTTTACTACCACCAGTGAACATCAAGCACACTTCATTAGAGATCTATTTCTAATATTATTTCTATTATTTCCCTTTTTTTTTAAATTATTTTTTTTATCAAAACTTGAAAAATCTTTCAGCTTTTCTTTACAGGTGATGTTTTTATACATTTACTCTTTTGATTTTTCCCTTCCCTCTGGATTGTCATGAATTTTTCTACATTTTTATTAATGCGTCTCCCCAAAAGCTTGATGCGATGCTCCAGCTGTAAGTCTTGGGTGACCCCAGAGGGAATAATCACTCTGCTGCCCTATAGACAACGCTCCTGCAAATGGACACCAGGCAGTGCTGGGTGTTTTAGGCAATGCAGGAGGATCCAGGGATCCTAGGAGATCCCTGTGCCTTTGTCAGCCCGCTCGTGGGAGCAGGCAGCAGAAACACCAGTGCCTCCCACTCACCCTGTCATCAGGTCTTTGCAATCTGCTGGTGCAGCGCTTATCGAAGTTTGGTGTTTTAGCTTGTCTCAGCAAGTTTACAGAAAGCCATCGAGAGACTCCAGACTAAACCAGAGCTGATGAGGCCATGATTTCAAACGTGTGAGCAGCTTAATTGGGTCCTATTGCACGCTTGTCACTGGATCCGCAGTACGGGTGATGTTTAAGGCCATTAGAGGGATTAGCACCATGTTTATTCTGGGCTGAATGAGACAATTTAATTTCTCTTAAATGTGCTACCCTCCCTAGGGCGTTTTCTCACACGCAGACACCCTGCCAGCGCAGCGTCAAAAATCCGCACTTGCTTTTTACTGTTTTTTTAATTAAATTAGACTTACAAACAAGTGTCATACAAGCGTAGTGCTAGGAACAAAGAACAAGGGCGGTGAATTCCTGTAGCTTTCAGATGTGTTGCTTGTAACAGGCTTTGAGCGGTGAGGTGGCTCAATGGGTAGTGCTTCCTCGTGGTGGGCTGAAAAGAAAAAAAGCATTTATTTTAGTGATGCAGCATCCTTATCTCTCCTTTGCCCTTTGCTCAGGCAAGATATGTGCGAGTACTGCATGTCCCGAGGCACGATGCTCCTCTTCATTCCCTGGGGAAGATCCAGTTCATGCTTACAATAGTGGTCTTGCTCCTCTGGATGCCCCCACCCCACCAAAGCTCTCCCTGTGGGGAGCATCTAAGGAGCATCAAAGTAGGATCCCAAGTGGCTCGAGACCCTCCAGCACTGCCTTGCCCCATACTTTGCTTTTTCTAGTTACATATTTTGGTATAGATTGGCAAAACAGGGCCCACTGCGTTTAGCTCACTCTTTCCTTTTGTGGGAGTGGTGGATGCATGGCTTCCCTATGTTAAAAATTAGCTTTCCCTCTGTGTGTGCTGAATTAATTTCAATTCAGAGCAGCCCGTTCTAGCTCGTTTATGCAAGCCACTCGAATCCTTGTGCCAGCACAAGGGAGGGAACGAGCAGCTGGGAGCGGAGGAGGCTTCTTTTGGCAGAAGTGCCAATTTCTGCTGGTTTAAAGTGGTTACAAAACTCTAGGTGGGGCTTCGTGATCGATTAAAGCTGATCTGAGGCCACTCAAAGGGAAGAGATCTGTTATTTTTGCCCGCCTGGTCCCCAGCCCATTCCCGTATGTGCAGGACTTTGAAAGGAGAGAGGCTGGAGGGGTTTTTTGTAGTCTTAGGGCTTCAGGGGCAGGCTAATAAGGGCCAAACTCCTCAACTGCTTTGTATTTTGAAGGCTTTGCTACCATCCGTGCAAAGTGGTTTATTCCTACGGGCTGGCTCTTCACCATGTTCCACCGCTGAATTGCTTTCAGAGCCCACTAAACACGCCGTAAATAATTTACTAACTTTACCTTTCCGGGCAAGCAAATCGTGGGCTTGCCCCGGGGACGTTATTTGATCAGAGCTGGGACAGGCAAAACTCCGTAACTGTGACGGGAAGCAAGATTCCCCAAGGGACAGCTTCTGATTTAAATGATTTGAGGTTGATGATCGGTTGCTTTTATAAAGTTCCCATCATGAGAGCGTGTCCTGATTTTGACTGGGATAAAGCTATTTGGTTTTGGTTGGTTTTTTGTTGTTTTTTTGTTTGTGTGTTTCTTTGTTTTGTTTTGTTTTGTTGTTTTTTGGGGGGGGGGGCGGGATTTTTTTTTGTTTGTTTTTTTTTTCTCCTTTCTTCTTAGTAGCTGGAATAGAGCTGTATTTCGGATTCAGTATGGGGTTTGGTATGAGAAGAATGTTGATAATGTACTGATACTTTTAGTTGTTGCTAAGAAATCAAGGACTTTTCAACTTCACATGTCCTGCTAGTGCGCAGGTAGACAAGAAGATGGGGGGGAGCACAGCCAAAACAACAGACCCAAATTGGCCAGTGGAATAGTCCATATCATCTAATGTCTTGCTCGGTATATAAATAGGGGTTGATTGGGAAGCTCCACTCAAGTTTTTGGGATGGTGGTTTCGAGATTCTCTCTTCTCTGGGATTGCTGGCTGGGAACGGGCTGGGCATCGGTCAGTGTGTGGTGAGCAATCACACTGTTCACTACCTGTTTATGTTTCCTATTATTGTTGTATGTATTCTTACAGCGTTCTACTAGCGTGCAAGTATTAGCATTGTGCTTAGCTTTTTTTCTCCAAATTGTTTAAAAAAGAATTTTAGGCTGGATTTTTATCTCCTTTGCAGACTTGAAGACTTCTGTTACAGATTTATTTTGAGTTATGTTTTTTATTCCCTTAGGGAAGAATGACATTATTCAAAAATCAAATTGCTTAAGGCTAATGTCCATATAAATTACATTCTCTGATTGTGCTCTCAATTGGATGGTTATATTTCTTGGATACTCCTGATTTGATGCATGCTCAGGGGGTACAGTTCAAGTCAAAGAAAGTCTTTTTAGGGGATAGGGACTGGGACCAGACCTAAGAAAACTGCCTTCTGCTTTCGATTTGCCCCTGGTTTCTGGGAGGAATTGAGAAATGGGGGTGGAACATGAACTGTCCTGAGAACTTCCAATGAAATGTGTTACAAAACGTGACTTGAAGAGCCACTTACCCCCATTTTTTGTTTAATTAGAAGGTGCAAACTCCTGTGCCCAGACGATGTCTCAAAATTACCCTGACTGCAGCAGCTATTTTGCTCTGCTGCTGCTACAACCTTACCGGCACATCTAACACACCACAAAGACTTTAAATTAGGAACCAAACTTGCCTGTTCTTGCAGGAAGATGAAAATAACTACCGTTTTTTTTCACTAGCACAAGCAAGCTTTGCAGCTCAGCTTCGGGACTAGCTCTCCTGCAGAACATTTTAAACAATTACAGCCAAAGTATGAGAAATAAGGACTTGTAAGGCTGATGTGTGAAATATAAGTCTCCTTGCTGGAGATGGTCCTATGGGGTCAAGGAGAAATTCTTCTTGTGCCTGGAGGCACAGGCTGGAGTGGTGGTGGGCTGTGGGCAGACACTGGTGATGGGAGAGGGCACGGATGAGGAGGGGGGACTGGATGACTGGAAAAGACTGGGAAGGGGACAGGGGGTGGGGACAGCTGGACCATGGTGAGATGGGGACAGGAGATGGGAAGAGCTGGACCAGGCTGGCATGGGGACAAGGGACAGCCAGGATAGCCCGGTCTAGGGACAGGGGATGGGGATGTTGTCCCTCAAATGGGGTTCAGTACCCATTATGCAATAAGACAATCTTACACACTGAGCCGAGATATTTATTTATTCCATGTTTGAGCAGAGATGGGTGCTAGGCGGTAATTCCACAAAGCTAGCACAACGCATGAGAGAACTTCAGTGTATTTATACACTTCAAACTACACGAATACACATTTCCTGTAATGACCATTGGTTAGTTTCATATCACTTTGTCCCTCGTTGGTTAGTTATATTTAAATTAGCCTTGCTTGCTATGTAAATTAGCACACATGCTCCTTACAGGTATGGGGGGCAAGTCTTTTTGGTCTTGAATTGAGTTGGTGGTGGCGATATTCCCCCGCTGCCTTTACCTTTCCCACAATTACCACTGATTTTTGTTGACTTCATGCTTCTCAGGCAATCATCCAGCCTTTGGTGTCTTCTGAAGCAGGATGTTTGCCTCTTATCAATCTTTTAGCTCCTCTTCAAGGACACAGTCGTTAGCAAGGTCTGCGTCACTTATATAAAGTATTAGGCTGATACAACAGAGCCAATGTTTAGTGGTCCTCCTTAGAAGATCAGTGCACATTCAATCCTAAATTAAAGTGTCACTATACCTTAGGGATTAATACTTAGTCTATAGGGACAGCTGGACCAGGCTGAGATGAGGAAAGGGGATTGGGACAGCTGGGCCAGGGCCAGGGGACAGTCAGGGTAGCCCAGGCTGGGGACAGGGAGTGGGGACAGTTGGGATATCCCAGGCTGGGACAGAGAATGGGGGCATTTGGGATAGTCCAGGCTGGGGACAAGGAATGGGAACAGTCGGACCAGGTTGAGGCAGAGGACAAGACACAGCTGGGATAGCGCATGCTGGGGACAGGGGATGGGGACAGTTGGGATAGTCCAGGTTGGGGACAAGGAATGGGGAAAGCTGGGATTGTCCAGGCTGGGGACAGCTGGGATATCCCAGGCTGGGGACAGGGAATGGGGACAGTTGGGATAGTTCAGGCTGGTGACAGGGGATGGGGAAAGACGGGATAGCCCAGGCTGGGGACAGGGGATGGGGACAGTTGGGATAGCTCCGGCTGGGGACAGGGAATGGGGACAGCTGGACCAGGCTGGGCACGGGACAGAGGTTGGGGCCAGCCCAGGCTGGGGACCGGGGGCGGAGGGAGCCGGAGCCTGGGGCTCGGCACAGGGCCCGCCTCAGGCCCCGCCGGGCCTCGCTAGGCCGCGGCTGCCGCCTCCGTTGCTAAGCGACGGCAGCGGCGGCGGGCGTCCCGTGAGGGCGCGCGCTCACGTGATCCGTCAACGGCCGGCGCGGGGCGATGACGCGGCGAGGTGGGACGGTGGAGGGCGGGGAGCGAAGCGCTGCGGGGATGGAGGAGAGGGAGCGGCTGTGGCGGCAGATCCGGCTGCTGCAGGGTACGGCGGGGACGGGAACGGGAACGGGAACGGCAACGGGAGTGGGAGTGGGAACGGGAACGGGAGTGGGAGTGGGAGTGGGAACTGGGGGGGGGGCGCGGCTGTAAGGGGACCCCAGCGTGTGGGAGGGGGAGGGGCGGGTTGCGCGGGGCTCCCGCGGGGGGCTGTGAGGGGAACCCGGGGGACTGAGGTGGGGGGGGGTTGTTAGGGGGGAACTGGGAGTTCTGGAGGGAAGGGCGAGCTGCGAAGGGGGAATATGGGAGTCTGGGGGGGGGGGGGGGGGGGAGGGGAGCGGAGAGGACCCCAGAGTACTGAGGAAGGCGGGGGGGGGGGGGGGAGGGGAGAGGGCTGAGGCCTGGGAAGGGCCCAAGGGGTGGGGGGGAGGTGGAGGGGACCCAAAGCTGCGGGGGAGGGGAAAGGGGAGAGGACGCAGGAATCCCGGGTGGGCCAAGGCAGGGAGGGAACAGAGACCCGAGAGCGCTGGGGGGAGGGGGGGGTTGAGAGGTCCCCATGGAGGGGGGGATCCCCACGCTGCTGTTCCTTGCAGGGCCTCTGGCTGGGGTAATGGGGTGTCCCCAGCCCCACAGTCCCCAGGGCTGGTGGCCCAGGGGTGGGATGTGCCCCTCGCTCTCAGCCCCTTGACTCCTCAGCATGGTGGGGTAGCACTGGGGGGGGGGGAAAGATATATTTGCGTGCCCTTTCCTAGCTCTGGTGAGCACCAGCGCTTATTCTTAGCACTAACTCGCTCTATTTATAGACCTCAAGGTAATTTTTCCTCATTAGTAAGGCTACAAACTCTGCTCAGGGAGTTGTGGGGGATTTGCCTCTGTCCAGGACCTCCTACTTTCAGGGGGTGTGATGAGAGGGAGGAAAACGGGTTCCTCACATCCTCGAGGAGGGATCTACAGAGGTTGCTGTTGCCTCATGTCTGTGACCTGTCGCGTAAGAAAAACTCTTCTGCGCTGACACCAAAATATCAGGCTCAAAAATCCTTTGATAATCCCTTTTGTTAGAAAGGTTTTCTAAACTCAGAGACTTAACAAGCGCGCACCCGCCCTAATTGACACGCATGTATCATCCAAAAGACTTTGTTAGTAGACCAAAGCCACCGGCGTGGCTCGGCAGAGGGTTTTGTAGTGACTCAGTAGCGAAGCTGGGGCCACCTCGGAGCTTCCTTGTCGCTGCTTTGAAGAAAAAGAGATGCAAAGCTGGTCAAGAGTCTGAAGCACAAGTCTTGAGAGGGGAATGGCTGAGGGAAGCGGGGGTGTTTAGCCTGGAGAGAAGGAGGCTGAAAGGAGATTTTATCCTTCTACAACTACCTGAAAGGAGGTTGTAGCAAGCTGGGGGTTGGTTTATTTTCCCAAGTAACAAGTGATAGGACAAGAGAAAAAGGCCTTCAGTTGTGCCAGGGGAGGTTTAGATTGGATATTAAGAAAAAACATCTTCACCAAAAAGGTTGTCAAGCGCTGGAATGGGCTGACCAGGGAAGTAGTTGAGTCACCATCCCTGGAGTTATTTAAAAGATGTGTAGATGCGGCGCGTGGGGACATGGTTTGGTGGTGGACTTGGTAGTATGAGGTTAAAGGTTGGACTCGATGATCTTCAAGGTCTTTTCCAACCTAAATGATTCTGTGCTTTGTGTTTGGAGCTGGCGGTGGCTGTGCGGGGCTCCGTGCATGCGCAGACCCCCAGAGACTTCTCTGGAAAGATATCTGAAAATAAAATTAACATTTTAAAAAAATTAGGCTCCAAAAGCAATAATTCAAGCACCCATTTTGGCACATAAAAAAGAGCATAAAGGGGCAAAACGCATCTGACAGCGCTAGTGCAGTGTGTCAAGGGTCTGTTGGTGAGTCTGTGGTTCAGACCTGCGTTGACTTGTCCTGCGAAATCACTTTTGTTACTGACTTTCATGAGAATTGAGGGAGATATTTAAGTTTTTCCTTCCAGCACCGGTTATCTGAAACGTGGCCTGTGCAGAGGGATCATCCTTATTGCAGTGTGAGGAAAACCAGTGCTGTGTTGCAGTCAAAAATCCCATGGAACAAATGGTTAACAGACGCTGTCTTCTTCTCCTTAGGTCTCATAAATGATCATAAAAACACGCACGGGGACATGCCACGGCCTCTGCCATCCACACCACCGAGGTGGAACAACCCCCGCCAGCCTGCCTTCGGCAGGAGGGGGGCATTTTCAGCCAGGTACCCCCAGCAGGCTCCTAGGGATTTCCAGCTGCGCCAGGGTCACTCCTGGAGGAAAAAATATTCCCTTGTCAACCGGCCACCGGGATGGGCGTGTGACGTTGGAAGCGGTGGGAGTGCCAGCACATCTCAGGCTTTTGGAAGTCATGGGGACGGCCCGGCACCCGAGCCATCGGAATCGTCCCCAGAGAGACATGTGGACTTGACCACAGATGGTAATATAGTTGTAGGGATCCAGCTGCCACAGAGGGCCGGCCCGTTTGCGGATACGAAAGGTTTTGCTGATGTGGGTTCTTACTGTGAGTTATCTGGGCTGAAAACGGTGGTCACTGTGCCGGGTGACAGTAAAGGCGCGCAGAAATCTCCATACGCATGCCGAAATGAAGAGAGAAGACCTTCTCTCTCGGTTTCATTTAGTTCATCTCACCGGTTTGTGAGTTCAGTGTACGGGAACGTGTCGGATAAGCCTAGAATGGTGCATCTGGCCAGCGACGTGGCCGGCAGCTCCCCCGCCTCTTGCGGAAGCACCAGTGAAAGCGCCGTGACGCTGAAATCGGAGCCGCAGGAGCCTTCGGTGTTGCCAGATCGCGAGCTGGCTCAGCACTTGGTACAGAGGAAGGCAGAACCGCTCGCCCCGGGGCAGTCTAGTTGTGAGCAAGTCAGGGATGCTTTCAGAGAGCCAGAGCAACTTGGAAATGGTGAGATGCGCTCCAGACCTGCTCAGGCTGCGACTTTGGTGGGTGGGATGACTCCAGGGAAGAGCAAGTTTTCCGTCGTCCCCAAAGCTGCTGGTCTCCAAAGAGCTGCCTCAACATCCGTCTCCAGCAAAGTGTCAAAATTCAGGAAAACTAATTACACGTGGGTCGCAAACCCTGGTAAATGCTCTCGTCCTGTGAAGAGATGGGTCAGCCCAAGAGCTTCTGAAAGTGCTAAGAAGGTCGCTGGTGGAGCAGAGAGAGGTCCTAAACTATCACCAAAAGCAGACTTGGGAGCAAAGCTGAAGAAATCAGGACTGCAATCCAAACTGGGTGTTTCTCCCAGCAAGTATAAGTGGAAAGCCTCCAGCCTGCAGACCTCACCCTCCACCTCCAAGTCAGCGTTCAGGTGGCAATCTGAGGATCAGAAAAAACCTACAGCCTTCAACCACCCTCGAGCTGGTGCAGCCCCACCTCCTCTGAGCGCCGGGTCTGTTGGTCTTGGCGGGGTGAAGCCCTCCTTCGGCGATGTTGCGCTGTCCAGTTATAAAGTGAAGAGCAGGACAAAAATCATCAAGAGAAAAGGAAGCTCGGGGTAAGTTTCTGGTCGTCGTCAGAGCGGTGTTGTTGCACTCATCGTGTTTTGTATTCATGGGGTTCAGGTAAATCGTGGCTATAAGTGAAATTCCAACGAGGGTTGTTTTATACTGGAAGGTGTATTTGCCTTTCTCTTTCCAAATGTGGTGACTTTATTCTGTTTGGAGGCATCCTGCTTTCCAGGGTTGGAAGGCCTCAAGTGTTAATTGTTTTAGCAGTCTGTGTAACCCTGATTTTAACCTTTCAAACAGATGATGGTTTTCTTCTCACCTCCCATCCCTGTCCTCTGAAGACTTTGCTGCAACACTCAGGAGACTCCTCCCTGACCTGAATAACAGACTAATATTCAAAGGGAAGGAAATAGCTGTCTTAATTTATTTTCAAACTCCCATCACCTTGTTGTGTTGGGGGGCTGGGAAAAGGAAAAGAAATGGCTGGAATCGCCGTATTGTGTGTGATCTGTCTCCACACAGCATTGTGCAGATGGAGCAGGGATGGGAGGTGAGCTCTGCGTGCTGGGAAGAAGCACTGTCCCTGATACTCTGCTGGTACTTCCCTCCCTTGGGTGCCATCCCCTCGTGCCATCCACCGCTGTAACCCAAAGTGTCCTCCTTGAAGGCTCTCACTTTTCTTTCTCCTTGTCAAGTCCGTGACAGATGTGTGGCTGTCGTAGCTACCTTGGGAGAAGGCGTTGTGCCTGACTAGCAGATACTCCTGGGGTCTTGTGGAACAAGTTTTCCCCCCTGGCTGTGTCTGATAAGGACAGAGTACACTGGGAAAGTTATAAACGAAGCTTGGTGGAAGGAAAAGGCACGTGGGCTGAGTTATCTGCAAAAGAAGTTTGCACTGAGCTGGGAGTTGAGAGGAAACAGATAAGAGGTCGGGACCAAACTCTTTGAAATCTGGTGTGTTGTGGAAGTGCTGCAAGGGCTTTGTTATGTTGTGCTCCTGGTGGGAAAGCTGTTTTGTGCTGCTCTTCTCGGCAGGTCTGGATGCAAGCCCAGCCTGTGCTGCAGGGAAGGGATAAGCGGGGATGGGGTGAGGGTTGGTGGCACAGCTGTGTCACCTCTGCCACTGAACTCGGAGATATCCTCAGCGTAGTGGACACGTGGTTTGGCTCCTTTCTTGCTGCAGTAACACCATGCCTGAGCTTTTGAAAATTGAGGGCTGTGGCCTAAATAACTATTCTAAGTGACACGATGAGCAGGTAACACAGCACCGATTGAGAATCCGGTGCCTTGATTCCCGGATCTGTTTCTCAGATCCTCTGCTCAGTGCTTCACCGCAGGTTTCCATCCTTGTCTTGCCCTCCTGGTTTGCTGGGGAATGTGTCTGTGGGTGGATCGTGATGGGAGGATCACTCTGGAGCAAGGTGCTTGGGGAAGCTGGGTTTGTTTTGGATTTTTTAGCAGTCGGGGAGATTAGACCCCCCCCCCCCCCCATCTCGCTAAAGGCCAACAGGACTAGTGAAGTGTTTGTGAGGCTGCACCTCAAATACTGTGTTCAGTTTTGGGCCCCTCACTGCAAGAAAGACACTGAGGTGCTGGAGGGATCTCCAAAGAAGGGCAACAAAGCTGGTGAAGGATCTAGAGTGCAAGACTTCTGAGGAGCAGCTGAGGGAACTGGGGTGGTTTAGTTTGGAGAAACGGAGGCTGAGCGGTGACCTTGTTGCTCTTTCCAACTGCCTGAAAGGGGTTGTAGTGAGGTGAGTGTCGGTCTCTTTTCCTGAGTAAGAAGCGATAGAATAAAGGAAACAGTCTCAAATTGCACCAGGGAAGGTTTAGATTGGAGAGTAGGAAAAATTCTTCCACGGAAAGGGTTATCAAGCATCAGAATGGGTTGTCCAGGGAAGTGGTTGAGTCACCATCCCTGGAGGTATTTAAAAGATGTGTAGATGTGGCGCTTAGGGACATGGTTTGGTGGTGGACTTAGTAGTGTTAGGTTTACGGTTGGACTCGATGATCTTCAAGGTCTTTTTCCAATCTAAAAATGATTCTGTGATCCTGTGACTCTATCTTCTCCCCTGCATCTGTTAAGCAGAAGGGAATGAGTTGCGTTACGCTGCCAAATACCTCATTCTCCATCTGTCCTTTACCAGAAATTCATCACACTTGCTTATTTACTTCTAATTTTCTGTTCAGTGCTTCATATCACCCTTGGGTAAGGGAGCAGTGTGGAGCTTGGTGACCCAGCTTCTCAGCTCTGGACAAGGGCACCAAGCACGTTTTGGTCCTCTCTCTTCTAACTGTGTGGTGTTCCCCCTCGCAGTTCCCCGCCGGATAAGAAGAACGGCTCCTCACCCACCACCCTTCTGAAAAGCCACTTCCATCTCAGGAAGAAAAACTCTTCACGGGGGAAGCCTTCCACGCCGCTGAAACGTTCCTCGCCCAAGGGTCTGGTGCAGATCACCAAGCACCGGCTCTGCAGGCTGCCGGCCACCAGGATGCAAGTCTCCACCAAAGAAGGTAGGAACAGCCATCCCAAGGGGCGACAGTGCTCTCTGACTGTGTGCCGGCAAAGCTGTGCCCAGGGGGGGCTCTTGGATTTGGAAATGGGTTACCAGGTCCTCCAGGAGGTGAATCTGCTGTTGTTGGTCCCGGAGCAAACACTGAGGAGCAGCAGTTTGGCTGGAGTAAGACTTCTGCCTTACCCCAGAGCTGTCTTGTGCTCTGTCGTCTCCAGACAGGGCCGTTTTAAAGCTGCTTCTTGCTTTTCATGTGGTTTGGCTGGACTTGCAGGCATCTCAAATAGGAAGGTGATCGAGGAAGGAAGAGCATGGCAGAGGCAGTAATACATCTGTAAGACTAATCTCTCTTTTTGCACCAGGCAAAAGCTTGTGCATGTCATGGGATACTCCTCTAGCAACTACAGACCTCCCTAATGCACCTGTATCCCAGTGCTGTGTCAGCAGGTGTCTAGATTTTGTATGTAATTTGCTTAAAATAGCAATAATTAGAGGAATATCGGATCCATTGTGTTTGTAGACAGGGAGTTTGCCTCCATGGCCTGGTGCTTGTCAGAGCAGAAATTGGCTTCTTGGGGCTTGGAGAGCCGCTCTTACATCTGTGTGAAACGGTGGTGTGACGTTTCTGGCTCAAAACCTGGCTCTGCTATTCAGTGGTGATGTGATCGTGGACGTGTAGCGTTGCTCCCCTGGGGTTTAGTTTTCTCAACTGTATTTGAAGCACGTTTTGCTCGTGTGCCTGCGCTGCGCTCGTTCACGGCTGGCAGGGTGGCCAGCGACGCTGCGGGTAAGCATCGCTGGAGTTTGGGGGGGCTGTTTGGGTCACGACGTAGCTGTGATCTCCCTCTAAAAGCAAAGCCGTCGAGCTGTTTTTTTTTTTTTCAGGAAGGCAATTCTGCGGTTTCCTGCTCTGCTCTTAAACTAGCGAGTTTCCACATGTGAATATGGTTATTTTGCATTCAGACAAATAGCTGCGTTGAGGTGTTGCGGTGTTTTGATGGTGTAAGAAGCGACCTGTGGCTCCCCCAAAACAAGGACTGAGAGAAGCAGCCTTGAAGGAAGCATAAATGAGGGCGAGAGACGAGATTTGGTAAAGAAAAGGGATGGCGCGGGAGCGGAGGCTCTCCGAGCTGAGGAATGTCTCAAACACTTGCAAGTAACAAAACTCAAATCATGGGGTGGATAGCGTGGAGGCTGGAGCTGATAAGGCTGCCCAGATAGCGCAGGATGCAGCTGGAGGAGGGGGCCCTGTGGAGACAGGACAGTTCTGCTCTGGTGCAGCCTGTAAAGTTTCAAGGGCCATCTGTCTGGTGAATGATTTTTGCTTCATTATCCACGAAATTCATGTGGAAGTTGGTGTCTTGTTAATGAAGATTAACAAGGTCATGATAGTTACATCATCCCAGGAAGCGCCTTACTCCTCCCCATACATGTGATACGTAGATTTGTAGGTTGACTTAGGAGAGGGACCCGAGGAAAGTGTGGATAAATTGAGGGGAGGCAAGGATAACAGAAGGGAAGCGAAGTGAAAAAGACGGGTGCATCCTCGAGCCCTCGTTGGCAAGACAAACTCAGGAACCCGGGCTGGTGATCTCTGTTTCTATCCCCATCTCTGTCTCTCTTTTTCCCCCTTTCCTGCTTATCATTAAGTAACAAAAGGCATACCATACTGCTTGCTGTAATTTGTTATATACTTAGCCAATTATCATGGATCCAGTTCATACATTGTAGGAAATTAATAAATGTTTATGTGTGGACTTTGAGACTTGTCTCAGCGTTGTCTAATCCATTGGGGATTTACAAATTTAACTTGCTTGCTTCCCTCTTTTGAGCAGGACATGGCAGATGGCTGAAAAGATGAGAAGGGCGTTTGCAGCTCAGGAAAGGGAAAAGCTTTTTTGTGTGAGGAGAAGAAAAAGATTTTTCTCTTCATATGTGTGTTTGAAGAGGGGCCTGGAGGGATGGAGGGGACGCTGGGAGGAGAATTTTGGATCTGGTGCTTTAGGAGGCAGGATGTGACTCGTGGGAGAGGCAGGGGAGAATAAGATCTGTGCAGTTGCGTTGATGGGCCAGCCTGCAAGCAGTTGCCTGGCTTTGGGGCTGAGCCTTCCTCCATTTAAGCAAACCCTTTGGAGTCTGGAGAGGCGCGAAGGCTGCGCCTCCAGACGCTGCGGTGGAAGCTTCCGTGCAGCGCGTGACCGGTTGGAGGTCTCGGTCAGACTTGCACTGTGGTTGCTCTTCTGTGATCTCTGAAACCAGAGGTGGTGGATGTAGCACTTGACTGGATCCAGCTGTGGTGGTGGTGGGGAGGTGAGAAGGTTTTTCTTCCTCGGGTGATGGGGATGTGTGAGATAGGGAATGCAGCCCTTCGGCCTCCCCAGAACTGCCCACAGCTTATTCTGGGGTGAAATTAGGACTCGGACCTCACAAACTGCTTGGTGGGGACCTTTCTCTTGTGTGGCATGTCTAGTATGCATCACTGAATAAATCTTTATTGCTGTGAAGCTCCTTTTTAAAGAACTTGCTGTGCTTGCTGAGAGCCTGAGATGAGAGCTGTGCTGTAGGCTCTGGAGATACGAAGCGATTTGGGGTTGCAACAGCATTTTACATATGAGGAAATTGAGACGCTGCTGGTTACAGGGCTATAAACTGTTTGGGTGATCCAGGAACAGACCCGAGGTTAAACCAGATCCTTGTTCTCCATTTAGCTCCGTGTTTACACCTGGGTTGAGAGACCTTGTTGTAGTTTGCTCAGCTGTGTGTGTCATTGAGGAGGTCCCAGCACTGAAGCTGCTGCCTTGGGAAGGTTCCTAGCACCCATGGGAGCTCGCTTGACTTGGCAAACATCTTTTTATAATATGTCAGTAAAAACATGTGCCCAACCAAATGAAGATTCGCATAGGTTAAGAACATACAAAAGGGATCAACATATTCTGCTCCCTCTGGGAGCGTGACTGGCAGCTGCCAAAAGCCCATGTCTTTTGGGAACGTCTTTTGAATCCTTGTTCTGTGACTGAAGGTAATGTTCTCATACTGAAAAGATTTTTGATCTTAAACTACGCGAGGCTGAAAAGACATAGATAGAAATATGGTTGTGCTCCCGGCTTTGTTCAAAGTAAAGTTCACAAATAAATAAGTTTAGAGGAATTAGGAAAAAAATGGAATATAGATTTGGAAGTGACTTTGGGATTGCATGTAGTTCATTCCCCTGTCTGAAAGTGGATCAAATTATCAAACTGTTCCTTGCCAAGCCTAGCACAGACAAAACTCTGGTTTATGAGAGTTGTGAGTTGAAGTAACTTATATTATTTTCCAGCTTTCATCTGTGCACCTTTCAGTCTTAGCTCAGACGTGTGGAAGCTAGTATCTGCTTTAATAAAACCTGGTGACTGTGCCTCGTGGCTTCTTTTCTTTGAAAACTGCAGTACCTGCTGTAAAAATGTGTCTCGATTTGGTTCTTAAAATGACTAAAAGCAAAAGGAAATGGCCTGCCTGCCTTTTCCCATATTTATATGTGTGTGCACATGTGAGACTACTCTCCCTCACTTCATAAATGCCACAAATCCTTCTTTTCCCTGTGCCTCGCTGTGCTGGTAGGAGGACGGACACCGATGCCTCAAAGAATTTAAAATGCTTCCACACCATAATTATGAAATAGCTTCTAAATTTCTTTCTTGCTTTCTGCAGTGGAGAGGAATTATACTCCGGTAAACGAGCCATTATTTGGATTGGAAAACAGACTGGCAAGTGGCACTGGGATCCATTCACCTGGAGCTCTGGAGGGACTCCTTAGGCTGCCTTTCTCCTCCCCAGGGAGGAGGGTACAAGGTTGTTTTTGCTGCTGCTTTGTCCAGCCTCACTGCAGAACTGAATTAAATACATCCTTCTGCCAGGAGGACCTTGCGTAGTCGAGATCCCTTGCTGGGTATGTTTTCTGCTGACGTAGTGACTGTGAGAGCTTGGCTGCGTGTCCTCTTCCCGGAGAGGTTTTCTAAGATGCGTCACAACGATGTAAGTTTGACAGTTCTTGTCTTTTCTCTACTGCACCTACAGGCTTTCCCCTCGCTGCTGCGGGGACATCAAGTGCTAAATGCTGATACTGGACGGGTAGGTGGTTGCTGGTAATCTAACCTCTGTTGTACCATCACCTTAGGGGATCCCAAAGGACTTGGGTTGCTCCTTCCTGCGCCGTTGGCAGCTTTGTGAGGCACTTGCTGAGCGATGCACGGCTGCTTCGCTTCTCCAGTTAGCAGAGAAATTCAAGCGAGAGTCTTGACCGCTTTAAAATTGTCCAATGAATTTTGGCAGGGGTAGCACTGCTCGCTGGGCATCTGGTTGTGGCTGGGGACTAGCAAGGCGCCTGCCTGCCACGTTCCTGCCTTTACCTTCCTCTTGGCAGCAGCAGCCTTGCCTGAAGCATGAAGGTTGAGCAACTTAAGTCCAGCAGATCTTGACCCTTCCTGCTTACCTTCAAAAGGAGCCTGTGGATTTGGTTCCTTTGATTAGAATTGAGTTCATGGGTTTGAATTCTTTATGCCTTAAGGCTTTTCTTTGAGAGGGTTCAATCCTAGGCAATGTATTTGCAGCCTAATGCGTTGAAATATTTGTGCTGGATTTCTACAGCTTTTGAATTATTGCTGGACTGTTCCTACGTGTGCTAGGATGTGTTTGTTTTGTTTTGTTTTCCCCCCCGCATGGGAGATGTGTAGTTTAGTACAAAAAGATTTAGATGCTGGATGGGGCAGGGATGTTTTCAAGGCAACATCCTAAGGTCTGTTGAGAGAGCCTAGTGAGTGACAGGGCTTGGTACAGCTTGGATATCACTCATGTTTGGTGCCTCTAAACATATAATTATGTATATAGTAGTAGGTGTCTGGTTTCACAGCAGTCTTATAGCAAGCTGGGAATAAGTGAAGGCTGGTGAGTTCAATTCCTGGCTCTCAGGTTGTCTGAGGTTTTGGGAGCGTTGTTTTTATTTCTCCTTGCTCGTGCAGAGTGGGG